TGTTTTCCCTACGAAGGAGTGTCCACTACTGTTCTCCCCCTTTTGTAGTGGCAATATTGGTGAATGCCCAGGTGTCGTATGAAAACAACCAAAAACTTCAACTGGGACAGATCAGTCTGCTATAGCTTCAGGTAAATAAGGGTAACTAAAAGCCCAAATCCTTAGTTCTCCAGAATCTCTTAGATGTCATTTTGTTTTGGAGTACTGCTAAAGATGTTCATTATATTCTAGTAAGTCTGATGTGATGAAGAGTTTAGTAATTTTTGCTATCATTTATCAACCCCCATAACTTATATTTCATCATTTCATTGGAGTGCTTCTTAGTTTATTCTTTAATAGAGATCCCCAAACAAGATGTTTCTGTGGGAAATCCTGTTCCTTTATAAACTTTCTGCCTACTCTAGTACATCAACCTTAGAAGTACTAAAGTCTCCAACCTACAACCTGTCTTTTAAGTTTGCCCAAAAACTGATAGGAGTGGTTGACATAGGATTTTATGTCATTACAAAAGATCTTTTTTCATAGAATGCTTTGTTTTTCAATACTTTTACCCAAAGTATGAGGAAAATATGGGCTTTCTAATCTGGAAATGCAATAGCTGAGTTAGGTAGAATCAGGGAGAAATCTGGAAATTAAGCAAGAGTACACTAAGATTTTTTTCACCAAAATTATAATGACTAGAATTAGGGAGTATACTCTCTTGAAGCTTAAAAGAGGAACTTTTGGATTTAAAAAAAAAAGAAGACAGTTCCACTTTACACTGTGCTAACTATATATAGAGACTTACTGCCCTAAGAAAAAAACGAAAATAAAATCAAAGAAATTTGGATCAGTGCTTTGATAAAGCATCGCTATTGGGCTTTAATATGAAGATGTTAGGGGTATGTTTCTAATATATATATGTATTGTCATGGAGGAAAACCATCAGAGTTTTCCCGAGCCATCTGTTGGTGTCACTGACAAAAACACTGGCATTTGGATCATTGGTGTGACTAATTATGACATTTTTCTCTAGGATTGTAATGTCTGTATGGCTTTTCTATCTTGATTCACTTTCTTCCAGCCTGATTCACAATTATTTCTTTACAGAACAGCTTGTATTTGGCGTAGCTATAAAAAAAAAATCCAGTCTCTTCTAAATAAGGTTCTTTTTCAATTGGAAATTCCATCTTTGCAGTTAAAACATTTGTAAACATAACACAATTTAGCTAGAGCTGAACAACTTTGTAGGCTGCTATTTTTGAATGGAGGAGCTTTCCTAAAGAGCAGCTCGCTGATCCTGAGCTCTTAGAACTCCCTTAGAAGCAGTTGGAATTTACTGCTGCATGTATTGGGTCAGACGAAGAAGGAAACATGTACTATATTTTCTGGCTTTTGATGTTCAGGAAATATAGGTGGGCTTAGAAGAAAATACTGAATAAATTTTGGACCTTATTTTTCATCATTTTAAAGGATCCTTTATGTATCTTTTGTTCCCTGAGGTTAGAGATGTTGGTAATGCTGAAAGGTGTTTTAGGACATTCATCCTGCAATACCTCTAATATCTGAAAGGAAATGTAGTCAAGTTGCACAAACTTATCCTCCAAACTCGACCGTCTTCTTTGGTTAGAGCAACAGTTTTTGTGTTATTGTTGTTGGGTTATACTTAGGCGAGAAAGCCTCACAACCTGACCTGATTAACAGCCAGGATTTTGATTGGCAGTGGTTACAAAATGGAACATGTTCCCTCATCCTGGCTTTTCCTTCTTCTCAAAGCCACAGAACAATGTAGATTTTTCAGGGCTGTTCTCCTGGAATTGAAGTGTAATGGCACTTGACAAGCAGTTCTTCTTGGACAGAAAGCTTTAATGGTATTAAGTTCAGGCTAGAATCATAAGTATTAGGTCTCTGATTCTTCTCTCATTTATTTTTTCCTGGGCTGAACCAGAGGAGAATCAAACTGAGATGTAGATAAATGTAAATAGAAACAAGTCACAAAGTGTAGTGTTGCAACCCAGTCATAATTTGAACCCAGTTTTTTACTGATAAGAGCTTGCCTTTTGGGAGACTATTGTTAATTGTTATTAATCCATGGAATACCTTTTCCTTTTCAGAAGGGTTTTCAAAAGTAAAGTAGTTCTTTCTTTTTCTTTTTTTTTTTAAGATTTTATTGGGGAATTGGGGGGAGGGGAACAGACAGGTAGACAAATTGCTGTTTTTGCTCTTCAGTCTAGTTGTGGAGGACTTCGCTTCACTGGCCCATGTTGGTATGATCATTGTGCTCTTTCCAGGTGAGGCAATCCGTCGCCTGTCATTGATCGGCTGCTCACAGCGGCTCCCGGCAGCTCACACCGGCTGCTGGCCACTCACGTTGGCTGCCAGCCACTCATGTAGCTCACGGTAGCCCACTGCAGCTCCATTGCAGCCTACGCCTTCTCCTCACAGCAGCCCAGCTCCAGGTGGAGCTGTTGTTCATCATCTTAGCTGTAGAGGGCGAGCGCCAGTGGCCCTCAATGTGGGATCCGAACCGCAGCCCTGCTGCACAGAGCTGGGGCTCCCAAGCGAGCTCTTAACGAGCTGAGCCACTCTGCCGGCCCTTAAGTAGTTCTTAAAGCATGTTCATTTTCTACCTGCCTATAAATGCTCATCTGTCAGTGCCCTAGTACAACACTGAAAAAATTTATCAGAGGAGAGCGTGCCCAGCATTGGTGCCAGGTGTTACGCAAGACTACCTCCAAAAGTAACTCTCAAGAACTACTCTTGGGCCCTTTATGGTCAGAAAAAAATGTGATACAGTATAATGAAAAAGATGAGACTAGTTAAGTAACTTTGAAATAAAAACATACTCTAAAACACTAATTTTCTGTCATTGTCAGAACTATGTTTCAAATTTTATGAATCTTATTTTTCCAGAGGTTTCAAATGCCCAATGAATACCTCAGGATTTTTTTTTTAATTACATGTTGGCTAACAATAGCTCTTTGTTACCCTTTCCTGCCCAAAAATTTACCCTTTCCCCCCTAAAACAAAACAGAAAAAAAATTTTTTTAAACCTTGCATTTTGATTTTAGGGATTGTGCTAAAATGGGACTGTAAAAATAATCCTGGCTGGCTTGACTGAATTGGCAGATGTCCAGCAATGCCAAACCATTTGTTGTCTGCCAATAGTAAGCATGGTCACCACTTTTAATCATTTAACTCCCTGTTTCAGGTTACTAATATTTAGTACAAATCGTGAATATTCATCTTCCAGGGGTCTATTAATTCTTAGGCCAGAGTGTTAGTATTCCATTTAATATAATGTGTCTTTCCTCCTAAGTGGATACACCCCCTTAAAATGAACTATTATACTAATCACGTTATAAACAGGGCCATTTTTAAAGGCCTTGTGCTATTTTCATTTTATACTTCTAAATGAACATTTACATTATAAAGCATCCTTTGAGTGTGCTGTCTGTGCTGTATAGGCTCACCATTTTAGCATAGATCAGTAACAATATTTCTTCATTTCCCTGTGCCTTTCTGGACTCTATAATTTGACGAAATAAAACAATTGCCTGGGCTATGTGAGTTAGACTTCAACTTTTATAGAGGAGTGGACTCATGCTTGTTAGTGCATTTGTATATAAAACTAGGGCAGTGTCTTACAGAACGTTATCACTGTGTCTCAGATCTGACTTGCCAGCACGTAGGAAGTTTGTTTTGGTTTCAAAATGTACTTTACCCCATGGTGGCTGGCAGGGTACAAGACTATTGACATCACTGTGTTTCAAATAGAAAATTAACAAGTAGCTACTGTTGTGATTGCAGACTGCCTTCCCAGCCCCTGTGAGAATGCTTTTTCTTTTGGACAGCAACACTTCTCAGCCCCTTGGTACCATTAAATCAGCCAATGGGGGCTGCCAGAATAGGGATGAACACCAACAAAAGGCTGAAGAGTAGAAAAACTGTTAATGATGCAAAAAATCTTTAATCAGTTTCCAAATTGATGTGAAAGAGAAATAATTTTTTAAAATTTCTCTTCCATCCATAGCTAAGTTTTGACAGTAGGCCAGGTTCAGAGCCTGATCTCTCCAGAGAGGAGTATCCTTTCCCTCCACCCAAACCCCTGGAGAGTTGCCAAAGGAAAATAAGCTATTTTGTATTTAGAACAAATTGCCACTGTTTTCTCCAGTGATGTAGCCTTATTTCCCAGACTTTGAAACTTGGAATACAGAAAGTTCTTGTGTGACCAAAGAAGAAATATGGTGAATGAATGATCGTTTTTTTGTTGTTGTTTTTGTTTTTTTAAACCAAATTTTCATAAACAGAGGGGATCAGATGTATGCATGGAACCTAAATTTAGCTCAGAGTGGATATCAAGTGAGCAATTTCTGGTAAATCACTTTGGAGACTGGGCTCCTTGTGTGAGTTTCAGTGAAAAACGTATGCTTCTGGAACCAGAGTTTAATTACACTTTTCAAATGAAGCTGTCAAAAGTCAAGTCTTCCTTAGAGATAAAAGCCTGACAGTGAAAAAACTAATTTGTTTATGTGTTCTGCACTATATAGGCTTCATCTGAGCAGCAGCCCTGGGATCTTGTAAAACTATGCGAACACTAATTTCTCATGTTATTAGATGGGGTAAAAACTGTTCACTTAGGTTTTTTTTCTCCCTTGCATTGTGGAGTACTTCTTTTCAGACTTTTCCCTCTCAGACCTGGGTTTTCTTAGCTGTTTGTTTTCTATTTTCTCCTTAGTAATCACCTTCCTGCTTGTTATTATCACTATTTCTTGAACAATAGATGGAATAGAGGCCAAACTTATACCAGTCAGATTTTCTGCTTGCTAGGATGCCTGTTAATAAGGTCAGAAAGTCAAAATTGGTGGCAAAAAAATTGGATTTACAAAAATTGTTTTTGAATTTCATTTGACATTGTTGTTCTAGTCCCCCATCCCTGTAGATCCTTTGATAAATTACTCTACTGTAATGGCTGCAGTTCTTAATTCTGTGCCTCACTATTAAAAAATATGTCGAGGGGTGGCCGTTTAGCTCAGTGGGTTAGAGCGTGGTGCTAATAACACCAAGGTTGCCGGTTCAATCCCTGTATGGGCCACTGTAAGCTGTGCCTTCCTTTAAAAAAAGGGAAAAAAAACCCCATCAACGCTCATCAAGAGTTAAGTTGGAGATTGTTGGTTATCCTACATGTAGTCATCTTTTGTGGTGCTCAGCTATACACAAAAACCCCAGTGAAGAGTCCTGGCAACCGTAAACAGATTTCTCATGAATGTTGGTCTGGCATCTGATGATGCTGTTTAGAAGCCCAAGTATTGTTACCTCAACTTTGGTGAGTTAGAGAGTCTCAGATATATCCACTAAAAGTTGTTACATCCTTCCTCCCCACTGTGGGCCAGTCATTCTGCTTGGTATTAGAAGAATTGAAATGACTACAAGTATGGATTCAGTCTTATCTAGAAGATAATTAAAATGTAGTGTGATGAGTGTGAAAGTCAAGTATTAATTATCTGAGGATGGAGTTTGGCAAGGAAGGCCTCATGGAAGAAACAGTAGTCTGACTGTGGGCTGACAAATGAATCAGATGTCCACTAGGTGAAGAGTGGAGAAAAAGGCATTCCAGGTAGAGAAATCAGTAAACATAAAGGCACATTTGGTTTGTGAAAGAGGTTTTCAAGAGGTAATTGGAAGTGGGGATGGAAAGGTGGTGGGCAGAAGCCTAAATTATAGCGTCTTCAAACAGATAAAGATTACTACTGACATCTTTTAAAAATCTTTACAACATCTAATTCAGTGATATAATAGGGTGGAGTTCATTGTTTACTGATAATCATTGTTATTGCCTGAGTGGCACTTGATTCTCTTCACATCTCTGAGATATAAAGACTAAATAAAATTTCAGCCTATATGGAATCTGTATAGTTTGATAAAGAATATGTCACAATTTTGTCGTTGTTAATTTATTGAGTACTCACATCTCTCACCCCCTCTGCTCCCCACCTCCTTTCTCCCTCTCCACTCTTTCTCCCTCTCTAACTAAACCTTTGAAAGACATAATTCCAGCCATGGTTCAGAAAATGATGTCCTGAGGTCCAAAACTCTGATAGTCATCTGCAGTAATATGCTCTAATAGTTTGAACATAGATTCCTGGAGGTCCTGGGATGCAGTGCGAAATAATGTGAGATTTATTTGAAGTCTTTTTTTTATCTTAAACGTATGCTTTGCTGGGCCAGTCGAGTGGCGCAACGGTTAAGAACTGGCTTGGGATGCCAGAGGGCCCCGGTTTGGATCCCACATATGAGGGCCAGTGACACTGCCCTCTACAGCTAAGATGCTGAACAACAGCTCAACCTGGAGCTGGGCTGCCGTGAGTCGCCGGCAAAGGCATAGGCTGCAGCCCCTGTGGTAGTGGGTTGCCATGGGCTACCATATATAGCCAGCAGCCAGCGTGAGCGGCCAGCAGCCGCAGTGAGCGGCCGTCCAGAAGCCGGCAACTGATCTGCCTCGCCCGGAAAGAGCGCAATGATGGTGCCAACGTGGGCCAGTGAAGCAACATCCTCTACAACTAGACTGAAGAACAAAACAACAGCAACTTGTCTGTTCCCCTTCCCCCAGTTCCCCAGCACTGTTCCCATTCCCCCAATTCCCCAATAAAAATCTTAAAAAAAAAATATACTTCGCATTATCCGTGCTTGTTTTTATGTAAAATAGTGTTTTTCTTCCAAATCTTTGAGGAAAACTATGACTTCTGTAAGTCACACTATATTTAACCTTCTGGCTTTAACTACTCTCTGGCTCTCTACCCTAAGAACTACTTAGATTTTATTAGGAGAAAGTGATTTTTTAAAAGCCTTCTAAGAGTGAGTAACATGTATCTCAGCCTTACTGGTTTTACTTTCTATTGTATATAAAATGAGCCCTTTAGTGCTAAGGTGGACAATGTGATGGTAGAATAATTTATATTATAATGTTATATAGTACATATAATTTATATAATTGGCAACTTTGTCGTAACATTTGTTTTTGTGGGGTTTTTTCTTTAAAATATGGAACGCTTCACGAATTTGTGTGTCATCCTTGCACAGGGGCCATGCTAATCTCTGTATCGCCCCAATTTTAGTATATGTGCTACCGAAGCGAGCACTGTCATAACATTTGTTGATTTTACTATCTGGCTATTTTATAAAATACCAGGTGAATTAAAAGGAATATTAATGAAAGCAGCTTTTCTTTGAAAGCTGAGAAAAGGGTCCCAGCTGTTCTCCTGAGTTTTTATTTTGTTGTTATCAAACCCCATGACACCACAATCAAGTCTGACGCTAGGGAAATGCCATTTACCAAGTTACTGTGTGACTACCTGAGAGTTAATAGTCTGTTTATTTTTTGTGAAGTAGACAATATAGTATAAGTTGTAAGTGAAACATAATTATCATATGCCACTTTACAGGAATTGCTTGTCTAACTAAGCTTTCTTATTTCACAAACAAAATAATGTCATTTTTCATAAGAGGAGAGAGGCAAACGTTTTGTTTTGGGGAATTTGGGAGATTTTTCAGAAGATTCTCAACACATTAAATTTTAGAGAAATGTTGTAGTATAAAACGTGTAGGATAAGCAGCTAGCTGTCATCTTGTGCACAAGTGTTGTGTAGTGAGCTGGGAAACCTGGCCACAAGCCACTGCAGTTTTGAAGAATGTGGCTCAAGGGAGGACTTGCAGGCCATTGCGTAACATGCAGCAGAGAGGAAAATACAAGTACTATCCCTATCACTTGACTTGTTTTCCATTTTGATTTAGTTACTTGGCAAAGTCTTGGTATCCTGTAGTGGAGGAATGAAAGACAAGCAAGTTCCAATGAAGGACCGTGCCTTCAGGCATCAGCCAATGGATAGGTTTGTGAGACTGGGCAGGCGCATTAAATTTCTTATTGTTGTTGGGCAGAGGGATTAGAGTTTTGAGAGATGACTTGAAAAACATCATCGTATAATACTTGCAGCTTTTGTGTGTGTGTGTGTGTGTGTGTGAGAGAGAGAGAGAGAGAGAGAGAGAGAGAGAAAGGGAGTTCTTTCCTCTCATCTTCAACATTGTGTGCTGCTTGTGGTTGATATACCTATGCTTTAAAAATATCACAGCTGCTAGGAGGGGCCATTTTAGAACAAAATCATTTCCCCTCATGTTGTGGGATATTTCAGTTTGGCAGTAGAGTTTACAAGGTTTGAAATCAAAAGCAGCATTGGTTCCTTCGGGGAAAAATGATCCCAATCTACCAAAATAAAAGCCAAACAGACTCTTAATTGTTCCTTTTCCCACAAGGGGCTTGCCCTTTTTGAAGGTGTGGGTAATTCTGATAGGACCTTCTCTCTAACAGAGCTATCCCTGGGAATCGCCTCTCCCCCTGGATAAAACCCACTTTTAAATACCATTTAAAATCAGATTTCAGAGTATCTTTGAAAATGAAAGTGCTTTGGGATCTCTCCATTCTCTTTCCCCGTCCCTCTCAGCAAGGAAATTTCAGTTTTCTCACAGGGCACCTCCTGCTGCACTGTCTAATCCTAACTTGGCTTTACAGCGTCTCTGATGCTAAATTAGCAAAGATTTTAGGTCAGTAGTTTTTACTGTGCTATCCATGTGTTGTGAAAAGTTAAGTAAATGCTAACCAGGGGGCTAAATTTTTTTACCATTTTTGATCAAGTCTAGTTCCATAAATTTTACAATGTTGGTTTTTTTTCTATCAGTTGTTCGTCTGATGTTCATCGGAATAGTCAGCATCCTCAGCCTTCATATCCCCCAGCCTTCTTTCCCTACTTTGATTAAAGGTGCACGATCATGCCTTTTATGAATGTTCGTTCTCTGTGTCAGCTCTTCTACTCCTTGGAGACTTGAAAAACATCATCTTTATGATACTTGCAATTTTTTACTCAGTGCGTAAGGATTTTCATATCAAACCAAGCTTTTTTCTTCTCTGTCTCTTGTCCTCTTTCCTGCCACCCGTGTCTTACGGCCCATGAATTGTCAACTGTGTCCAGGAGGCTCCTGAGCCACCAGTCACATGAGAATGAAGGCAAGAAAAGAAAAGACCAGATGGCATCAAAAGATATGCCTTTCTAGGTTGTTGGTGGTTAAGCTTGCAATCTGGTTACCAGCAGGGAGACTATGGGGAAAGGGTGGAGAGCAGCCCACATCACTGTAAGGCAAGAATTGTGGCATACAGGTGACAATAGTCACAAGGTATCCATTGCTCTTGGAAGGGTGCATTTACTTAAAAGTGTGGCGTATAAGCACATGTGGAACGCTGTGTGCAGTATTTGGATGGCAACTTTGAAAAGTATGGCTCCCCCTTGGTTAGCTGCTGTCCTTCAACTGCCATTAACCCTTTGTTAATGCCTACTCTCCGAATGCCTGATTCAGTTGCAAGTCCAAAAACTGTTTAGAAGTGGCATTTGGCTCCCACAGATACACCTTTTGTCACAGGAGAGCAGAGGACATCATTCACCACTCTTCCTTCATACTATTATCTATTTTGGAGGACTGTATTTACAAAACACAGAAAATGGCATCATTGGCCTTTGTGAGATATGGTATCTCAGGGCATGTTTTCTTGGTGTAAGCTGTATCTTGGAGCACACTTACAATTACTTGGCTGAAGAAATGTTCAGTAGTGGCTAATAAAAAATATTTTAGAGGACAGTCTGCCTTCTCTGTTCATTTAGGCATCACTAAACACCTTAACTTGCTTGGCCTGGGAGCTCCTGATTTGACAACGCTATTGTAGATCACCAGACTGCTGAGCTCGGCTAATATTTCCTCATGGAATTCCAACTCAGTTGTTTTCCCTTGAATGAAAAAAAATAAGTTATTTTTAATTTTAGGTTTCAACTTAGTCCCAATAGATGAACTTGAGTCCTTTATTCTTCTAATTACCTTGAAAATCTTTTCTTTTTCATAGACAAATTCAATAACCGTGAAGTCCAAAGTCAAGTTTCAACCTTTTATAAGACTGTCTCCTCCAATTACAATCTCTCCTTTTATTCAGATTCTGTTGTGCTTGATATCTTTATGACTCATTTCATTATGAACCAAATGAAACGAAACAATATGTTT